AAATCAGTCTGACTAACGTTGCCTAAAGTTGTAAGACGAACGCTAAAGTTACTATAACCTAATGGGTCATTTTAACTATTATAGCACAACAAACTATTTCAAACACTATTTTTCAAATGTGATTTGTCCAAGTTTTTCACGAAGTTAGATCACGGACGCATTAAGCAGTAGGCATTCTATGGATTCTGACATGTTTTTCTCTAAGCAACAACACAGTTTATTTTCTAAACTGTACCCACAAAAAATTGGTTCTTCGAAGTCTCTTGAAAATAGGTATTTTTCAGTACGGATCGGATAGGAATAATCTTCAATAAATGTACTTTCAAAAGTATTTTCACTTCTTTGAAACAAAAATAAAGATTAACAGAATCAGAGCCTAGTAACACAGCTATTTCCAAGAACAACTATAAATAAACTTCCATCTCCAAAAATCTTTTTGTTATGAAAAAATATTATTTAATAAATTGAGATTGAGATTTAAAAATAAATGTTAATGAAATTCCTTTTTACTTACCTACTCAAGGCTTATTCATTTATAAGCAATTCGGAATAAAATACACAATATCTGTACGTTTTCTTGATCATGTGATTGGATTTTACAACAGTAAAAGAGAAAAGTAAAATGTGTAATTTGTGATGCGTAGTCCTAATGGTGTCTCTTTTTAATAAAAAAAACACGTTGAAAATACTGTAATAGGTATTTCTAATTGGTTTTTGGTAAATAAGAGAGGGTCTTGCTCCTATAATGGAGACCAAAAATTATGATGATGACCTATGATAATTCATTTTTATGCTGTATTTCATACCTACCTATAAAGTGTACTGCTTCAGTACCAAGTTTCATAGTGCCTCGAAGTCTAGACAAATTCGTTATAATTTACCATCCCCCATTTATCAAGGCACCCGAACTTTACAAAAGACCTACGATACGACCTTTTGTTCCAGTAACCAAGAACTTGTGTTTTATCTAACAAATTGTTACTTAGCAACTTTGTAAGGTTTATGTTCGAGTAAATCTTTCACCAACAGAATATCTAATATTAGGAGTTTATAAACAAAAATACAACCGATTATAAGTTGTTAAAGTATCGTCTTCTCTTCTTATACATATAAATTATGTTCATGAATAAAATTCATCACGTTACACACATAAGACAGTGTAAACAATCTACAGATTGTTACAGTAGTCCCAGGGATCGCTGTCACTGTGTACTCCGGGACTATTCAACTATTACTATTTAGGTTTTATTGGCCATAGCCAATCTATAAATCCTGGCTACAGAGGAGTTACAGCTGTAATTCCATAAAGTGGCATTAGTCTCGCATCATCGTCATCCTACGGCAATCCTAAATCCTATACGCTCTATTTTACCCTGTATTTTCGTCATGTCGAAATAGCAAGCTGAAGACACACAAAGAGCACATCATTATATCTGTCACAGAACTAATAGGGTTCGAGGGTGACGTTAAACAATTTGTTGAGTGGAGACCGCCATTCAGCAAACGTAGTATTAGAGTGCCAACTTCCAGGTCGCTGGCAGAAGCTGGATGCGACAAGTCCCTGGCAGAAACTGTACGCGACAAGTCGCTGGCAGAAACTGTACGCTACAAGTCGCTGGCAGAAACTGTACGCGACAAGTCGCTGGCAGAAACTGTACGCGACAAGTCGCTGGCAGAAACTGCCAGCGGCAGAAACTGTACGCGACAAGTCACTGGCAGAAGCTGGATGCGACAAGTCGCTGGCAGAAGCTGAATGCGACAAGTCGCTAGCTTCTGCTGAATGCGACAAGTTCCTGGAAAATTCCTGGAAATGGCATAGGGACACACGAAGGATAATCTCAGTAGTACACACATCTCAACACTATTATTCTTGTACAAGTGTTCAAACACTTACATTCTTAGCACTCCTCTTCAGCTGCCGACTCCCTTTCCACCAGGTGACGGCTGCATCAGGCCTAGAGCCCGTGGTCTTGCACTCCACCTCGTAGCGCCGGTCCGCCGACACTTGCGAGCTCTTGTTCAGGATCTGCACGGTCAGTGGCCTTACTGCAACGGAGATAGGTCAGTGGTATTGTTGGAATGATGAACAAATATTCAATACTAGCGGTCGCCCGTGACTTCGTACGCGTGGATCCCGTTTTACCGCCTTAAAGGTTGAATTTTGCAAAATCCCGTCTTAGTGAACGTAGGTGTTCACGGTGTTACGTTCTAAAAGGAACCCCCATGCAAAAATTGAGATTCCTAGCACTTGTAGTTTCTGAGATTTTGTGATGATCTCATCTCACTGACTCACGTCAGTCAGTAACCTTTCGATCTTTACTTTTATTTATGTTGAGAAATTATAACAATCAACGCCCTTCAAATCAGATTGGCTTTCACAGCGAAACTGAACTACTGAACAAAAAGTAAGAAAATTAAATTTTGTTTTATAAAATAGGCTAAGAATAGACTTCAAAACTTCAGTTTAAAGTTTCTATGAGTATTTTAATTCATGTTGTTGTTCTTCATTATATCAAAAAGTAATTAAGTGTTGTTGTAGAAGGACAAAACTTTTGGAGTTCTTAACTAGACTGTCAATAAAGTCTAGCTTAGATATACATTCAAACAAGTCATACATTGAATGTTGAATATTAAGATAAATGTTTGTTTTAAATATGTGGTTAATTACTTTGGAGAAGAGCTCTATCCAAAAGAGATAAGTTTGTACATTCTAGACTAACTGCAATAAATCTTAATTAGTTATTGAAGTTAATTATTCATAGCGAACCTTAATGTTAGCTATAAACCTGGAGGCTTATTTTACATTCATGTGAGTTTCAATTCTATACGAAATAGGCGCAAAATGTTGATTAAATTTCCACAGAGTGAGATCATCATCAGGTCATTTAGTTTCCACTGTTCAAACACTCTCTCAAAACCAAAGCTAATGGATGATTTGGCATACATTCACAAACTACTGAAGAGTTGAGGAGGCCTGATGTTCGCATATTTCTCAGTCGCAGTCGCAGACATCCACGGGAAGAGAATCGGTGATCCTATTCTACCCCACCGAAAGCACACGGTTCTGGAATGGAGGCCGCGTACCGGAAAACGCAGCGTGGGACGTCCATTCACAAGGTGAACCGACGACATCGTAAAGGTAGCAGGGTAGCGCTGGACGCAGGCCGCTACCAATCGATCAACATGGAAAGCATTGGGGGAGGCCTATGTTCAGCAGTGGACGTCCTATGGTTGAAATGATGATGATGATGATGATGAAAGCACACGCCAAGAATGTGTATCTATACTAGGTTAGTTTCCTAAATACTCACAATTGATGTCAAGTATAAGAAGCTTCGTCTCTGGCGGGGCCAAGTTGGTGTTGGACGCTTGGCAGACCAGTCTCGCATTCAGATGCTGTCGCCCAACGCTGGGAAAAGTCAGCGCGTTGATAGTGGCGCCATCTGCTCGGTATGAGAACGAGTCATCGATCACCGTGTTCTCCAGGTACCAGGTCAGACGAGGCCTGGGATCGCCTGAGGGAAGAAAAAAACAAAATTATGAATTAGAGCCAACGGTGTGAACTGGCACGATTTAGTTAGACGGTCTGGTCGCTATTTAAAACCTACAAAAAAGTTTTGGAATAGTTATGAGTTTGGGAACATTGTTTACTGAAAACACAATAATTTTAATTTAGGCCTAAATTAGGTAAGCAGGCGTATTGTTATACGAGGGCGGCACTGAAAANGATCATTTTACAAACAACGTTTGAAAAAATAATCATTTTAAAAAACTTTTAATAAATAATTCTTTAGAATCGTGTTTTCCAAACTTAGAAATTGCCTTGCGCATTTACATGTCTCTCATGATCTCTAACTGCAGTGGCGAACGTTCTTTTTCAACATTAAAACGTATTAAAAATGAATTAAGGAACACGATGGGACAAGAACGTCTTAATCATCTTACTTTGTTGAATATAGAGCATGATTTGCTTAAAGAAGTTGATATTGAAAGTGTTATCTCTAAATTTTCCCACATTCAATCAAGAAAAGTTCATTTGTAACAGTTTTGTTTCATTTAATACCCTAAACTTGAGAACCTAAAGCAAACCAAGGGCCCCTTGATAGAAATTTGCTACAGGCCCCGCGCTGGCTTAATCCGGCACTGTCGATAACCGGTGTTTTTGTATGGATTTTGACAGATTTTTAACGTTTGTCAAAGTTAAAGTTAGACGGTGCAACCCAGCCTAAGTCTAACAATGGAAATAACCATTTTCCCTGCCTACACGCGGAATCCGAACCGTGAACGATGAAGGGGCTTAAGTAAAACGGATTGGACTAGTGAGCGACGAATAAAACGCAGGAATATTCGGGTTTTCAAGCGAATATTGGTCGGCAATTTTACCCCCTCTAACTTCGTGCTCTCGCGAATTGGTTTGCGTTGAATATTTTTATCTTTTCAACGGCTGCCCATGAATGAAAGCATGGGTAAAAAGGTAAAAAGAAACGTCAAGTCCAATTAAATTCAATCGGTCGTAATTCTCCAGAGGAATTTTCCTACCTAAGAATTTAATTTAAAGAGCTACAAGGGTTGCCCTGAGAGTTCCGACAACTTCCGAGAATGCCGAAGTCATCGAATGCGCTAACAAATCCAATATCTCTAGTTGGAGGTACTTGTTTGATGAATGCACGTAACTCTGATGGACTGGAAAGGCAGAATTCATTTGATATAGTTCTGAGAAATATCTGCCTGAGCCAGTGTTCGAAATTGATGAATGGATGCAAAGGTGAGTCAATTTGATAGAGACAGTGATTTAATGGAGATAGTAACTACGGTGTGTTTCAAACTATAGTGACAAATAGGTACGTTAAAGGTACATTTAAGTTTAACTAGGTACATTTTCATAGAAAAAGTTCATGCATTTGTTCTGTCGTTTGGTTCCAGTTACACACCCCACAGAGAAAGAAGAAAAGTAACCTTTAGGTCCCTATACATAAAGTTTGTTTTTTCCAGACATTCACCTTTGAACTGTTCCTGCTCCTGCATGGTCTGCACGCTGCACCTCAGCCGGTTGACGGTCAGCTGGACGTTGTCGTTGAGGCCATCCTCGCTGGCCGTGTAGAGGAGAGTCACCTCCAGCTGGCCCTTTTTGTTCTCTCTCTGTGGACAAATGGCAAAGGAACTTATAATTTATCTGTAGAGAGGTCAATTCTGTACATGAAATATATTTTCAAAATAACTATCAGGGGGTGATTAGTGATCGATACTGATGCCAAAAATGCAATTAGTAAAATTTTTGTCTGTCTGTCTGTATGTTCCTTATAGGAACAAAAACTACTCGACGGATTTTAACGAAACTTGGTACAATTATTTTTCATACTTCTGAGCAGGTTATAGTATACTTAGGAATTCCCACGGGAACGGGAATTAGCGGGAAAATCCTTTTGTATGAAAAATCTAAACCACTTAAGTTAGTCGCTTGAAATTTTGCATGCAGGTGTCTTAGTAAACTTAAAGCTTAGTTACAACAGGATATTGCAAAATTCCAACGGGAACGGGAGTTAGCGGGAAAAAACATTTGTATTAAAAAATCTAAACCGCGTAAGATAGATGAAGGGGGTAAAACGGGATCCACGCGTACGAAGTCGCGGGCGGCCGCTAGTTTTAGTAATAAGGCCTTAGATGTGGGTTTTGGCCTAGATTCTCATATGATTGTGGCTTTTCAAGTATTTAGTGGGTATGCCTTTTGCCTTTGTGTAAAGGAGAGGCTCTCACATAACCCACTAACTTGAATGTAATTATATGAATTTTCTTGATTCCTGACAAGAAAAATGCCTTACCCTAACCCAGGTACTAGGTGAAAACAAAACTAAGTTATAACGTAGAATATATAAAAAATATGGCACACCGACCTATTTTAAAACTGAGGTGGTATTTTTTTATTTTTCTATGTTCCGCGAGGATTTCATGACATGTATGAGAAAAGATATTATGTAGGTAAAGCCTGACCAGGAACATAAAAACCCTGGCATAGAGGCGCGTCAATTGCATTTGATAGTGCAACACTGAGTACAGTCGTACCTGTGTTAAATTAATAGGCTAACTTTATGTATCAAGATTCAGGATTACCGGCTAATTTGATATTTTCATAAAAAAACGAAAAAATATTATTATAGGCAACCTGGTTTTAATAAATTAAATGAAACCATCAATCGAGCTAGTAGGATTTATTTTATTATTCATCAATAATCAAATTCAGAACTTGAATATTCAATTGCAATGTTTGCTCATGAACGCTTCAAACTCGGTACTTCTTTCCCAATTCCATAAAATTCAACACTTAGAAAGTGAATTTTTTTTTTAAAATAGGTAGTTGAAACAAACCACAGCTAATTTTCATAGTGGACTGTACTATGCGATACNGCTATACCTACCATATTTTCATGAGTATATGGTCCAAATTCAGAATAGGTACTCGTAATAAAAACAAGAATACCTAATACTAAACTGAAACTGAAAATAGCAAGAGGTTTTACTTTCACTTGAAGGTAACCGTAATATTTATTGTTTACTATAAGTACGATATTACGTTACACGTCATGGATGTGTTGTCTTGTGTGTAAAGTAATAAAAGTAATCTCTGTTTTTCCAGTCCATAAACCTCATGTAAAATCCGGAAAAAAGGTTGACAAAAAACTGTAACGATGTCGCCGAGTTTCATGTTATTGTGTAAATAAGCATTTTTCTTACTTCGCTAACTGAAGGATATTCATGATTATTAACTAGGATATTTGCTTTTACTAATATTGTAAAGGTGTTTGTTTAAACTCGCTAATCTCAGGAGCTACTTGTTTATTTCAAAAATATTCTCTGTTTTTGATAGTTCATTTTATTTATATAGAAGGCTAGACTATAAATGTATAACATCACACTACGACTAATAACTAGAGTGGGGAAAAATATTCGAACCATTATTATAGCTCAATGATTTTCACGTGTAGTACGAAGTCGCAAGCACAGATTGATTACATTCTTGCAAGTTAAGTATTGAAGAACGCAATCCACATTTAAATGTAGTACCTACCTACCTAGCAGAATCGTTAGTATTAAACTAGGAACATAACAATCATAATAAACAACATTTTTTATTGCTTTAGCCACAACTCGCAAGACTAAAATGAATCGATAAGACGTAAGACATTGCGTCAGCTCAATAACTATGTATTACAGTCGGAGTAGGTAGTTGGTGGGTGCCTCCTAGACAGGGATCGGCCGAGGTCAGACCTATTCTATTGTAGGCGACCGAAGAGCCAAGATTTGATTCACACGTTAGTTAGTTACCCTGACTCATACTTAATAGACGTTATGCAAGATAATAAATGCGCATCGATTCGCTGTTTGTGGATGAATTCGAGTTTTGCCGACTTGCAGTTGGTTAAATCACGCGTCGTAATAAATAAAAACTATAGGATGCTTTTTAGGCAGGTACAGAGGACAGCAATCAGACTTTTTTTTTGTAAATCCGGTCTTATTGCATCTCCATAATATCCCACAGTGTTCAGGTTTATGTGCTGTTCTATACATACCCTGTCGTCAACGCTATACTGGCGTCGTTAAAGCTAATTTCAAGGCAGGATCGTAAATAGAAGCGTAGGAATATTAACCAAATGAAATTCCATTATAATTACATCAGAGCGAGAAACCAATATCTGTGCTACTGCTAGTCACGCGAATTCAGTATTATGATCCATACTCGTATAGTCGACGCAAATAGGCATTAATTAAAGACATATCATATTTTATTCTTCGATAAATTAACTGAATTTAACAAAAACCAGATAAATATTTTACCAAAATAGTTTCTAGCCTATAATCAGTAAAATGGACTTAAATACTGCGAGCTGTGTGAGATACTGAAGACCGATACAATCTGGAATTCCCACACAATGCACATTGACGATCTATAATGCTGTAATGCGGCTATTCAATGTCCCATACTCTGTTTATACCCTTTATGCGATAGTAGATAAGTAGGTTGTGTTAAACGGCGTAACTGAATTTACAGCCTTTCCGAAATAATGAACCACATTAACCTAACTAGAAAACTAAATATTATATTTACACAACAAAATGAAGATGAACTGCTATCATAACAATATCAAAATGAATAATCGATTAGGTACCTACATCGAGACAAGAAAGCTAAAAATATTGTTTAGAACTATTAGAAGAAGCAGCAGCTACAGAATTTAGCACAATTAACCTACCTCGATCAAATTAACCTTCGTTTTTGTTAAACTGCTGTAACAAATTGTGGTTTGCTGTTGCTAGTCAAGAATTGGTGAATAAGATTTCCATGTTTTGTTCTTTTTTGATTATTATTTTTTGTCTTACTTTTTGAAGAAGAAAAACTAAATGCAATGGTTTTTCTATAGGTATTTTACTCATATCTGCAATATTTGTAGATATACCTGTAGCTGCTAGATAGGTATGTTATGTATACAAACACATCACATAAAGCAGGTAACTCAATTGTATTTTATTTATTAACGGACATGAAATGTAATACGTACCCTTGAATCAGCCGCCACCAATCCACTTGTTATAGCATTGATGGGTCTCCAAATATCAGGAGTACCAATCAAACCATTCTTGAGATCATTCTGAAAGAGTTTTGAGTCGAAGTTCCACGTAGCAGCACCCACGGTTCTTCTCTTTTCCAAAAGTGACTTCTGAGCTATGGCTTCTGCTTTTGTCGACTTAAAACTACTGAATGTCTTTTCTAGAAATCCTGATTTAGGTTTCGTTTCCTCTTGGTCTGATACCTTAGGAGTCTTTTTCGCGTCTAATGTTTTGCTATTTTTCCGCCTGTCTGTCTCTTGTTTGGGAGGCTCTAATATGGCGTAAATTGTCAGTGACAAAAAATGGCCGGCTAACAAACTCTGAAGGTCACCTTTTTCTGTGGGTTTCTTCGCATCTTTCGGTTTCAATTGGAATTTAAAATCCTCATTCCAAACTGGCCACGAACTTTCTTGTAATGTTGTTTCGAACTTACTGTCCCCCGGAAAAAGCTTAACCTGAAACACAATAAGCAATGATTTTAATGCACATACATAATTAACACTCATTTACCATTTCTTGTTGTAAAATTGTATGAGAAAGATGCTCTGTCTGACATGTACTAAGTATCTTAGGTAGGTAAGTAAATACCGACTGAAGACGCAAACAATAGATTTCTGTTTCTTTTTATTTTTTCAGTAGAATTTGGTGATATATAAATGTATTATGTAATAAGATATGTAAATGTTCAGATTGCTATAATATAGTTGTTTCTACATAATATAAATATTGACGCTGGACGCAGGCCGCTACCAATCGATCAACATGGAAAGCATTGGGGGAGGCCTATGTTCAGCAGTGGACGTCCTGTGGCTGAAATGATGATGATGATGATGATAATGAATATAAATATTCATAAAGGTTGGAGAGTCCGAACAAACACGGCATTTAAAAATGTTGTTTAAAACAATAAAAGCAGGTACCTACACAGTGTTACTTTACGCTCATTAAAGCATGTACCTTTAGAGGAAACATACAACAACGGTCAAGAGAACAATAGGCACCGTACACTCATTACGTTTTTGTCATAAGAGTCGTTAATAAAAACGGCCCTTCCCATGTTCATTTAACTGATGTAGTTCAGAGCACTTCAGACAATACATCTTCCAGCTAAACTCTGGAATCTTAAAATGATTCTAATAGACGCTATTTTGCAACAAAATGTTACTATCTGATATGCTGTCGCCTGTACCTCCATACTAAACAGTTCAATATTATATGACGGCTATTACCGTGATAGCGAGTGAGAGTGATACCTAGAGTGATAATGCACAATTTAATGACCTAACTAAAAAGCGTGACGCACCGATAAGGTGCGATAAAATTGTACATTTAGCCACACACAGTGCTAAAAACAGTTTCGTTCATAAAGCGATTTTAGTATTTACCTATGATAAGGAAATAAATGAATTGTATAGCGGTTACTACTCATATAATATCTTATAAGGTAAAAACACGACTAGTAGAGCTTGTATAGGTACGCATATTGTTAGATTCACACGCTAATCGATAAAAAGTAGACAAAATTATGCATTATTAATCGAAAGCCAGACTTCCTGCAACCCATTGGACTTAAGATAGCGTCCGACGGTCATCGGAAAAAATATTGGAGGTAGGTATCGCCATTCTTAATTGAGAGAAATCCCGATTCATGAACTTAAAATAGAGTTGATCATCTTTATTTTAAGTTCATGAATCGGGATCAATATCTTAGTAATCAACCTCTATCTTCAGATTGAATTATGTGTTATTGTTTGTCTAATCAAAGTTCTGTGGTTGTGATATGAATTATTATTGACTCCTCAAATATTGACTTCGATCAGGTTAGTAAAAGTAGGTAATCTGATTATGTATGTAGGTTCTTGTATTTATAATAACAATGACTACAAATAAGTCAAATCAAATCAAAAATATTTATTCAATTTTGACCAGTATTTTGGAACCTATATCTAAACGTCAAAAATAATAAAAGAAAGAGTAGGTATGTAGCCCCTGAGGCAAACTTGAACTTGAGCAGAGTCGGTCAGTCAGAACTATAGGGGCCGACACGAAGGCATGGTAGCATTTGTCTTGAGTTCAAAGGTTCAATTTCCCCCACCGGGACAAGAAAGTTATAAAGTTTAAGTACCTACCTAAACAAACTTGCCTTAAATAGGTCAGGTCTGGGTGGCTAGAAGTCGCTTTGTTAAAAAAATGCAAATACCTACATACTGTAAACAGGTAGATTTTATTGCCCCCATACCGTCAATGTACCTATACTAATCTATAGGTACTATCTATATTCTGTACTAAGTAATCTAAATGCGAAAGTAACTCTGTCTGTCTTGCTTTCACGCCTAAACCACTGAACCGATTTTGATGAAATTTGACATAGAGATAGTTTGAGTCCTGGGAAAGGACATAGGATAGTTTTTATCCCGGTTTTTGAAACAGGGACGCGCGCGATATACTTTTTCTGTAACAGACAAAATTCCACGAGGGCGAAGCCGCGGGCGGAAAGCTAGTAACTTATATAAACTTTATCACAAATTATTTTAAATGGAATTTTAATTTCAATAAAATTATAACTTCAGACAGGTATCTTTGTCTTCCCTTTTAATTTTTTTAATAAAAATTCCATAATTAGCGAGTAATCCCCTAGTTCGAGTCAGTTACACCTTCTTGCAAAATCGGAGCTTTTATTCGATTAAACAAATCGTAACACTGAGTTGTAAGCTTAGATTAGGCCTTATTAATTTAAGGTTGTAAGTTTTTTTAACACCTTTAATTAAAAACAAGTTGCGCTAGTTAAGCAATAAAAATACGAGTAATTTGTGCAGCCATCTATTCAATGCATTAATATTTAACACAGAAATTCAATGATTGATTCACTTTCCTTATTTCACACGCTAATCGATGAAGCTTACCTAGTTTATAAATCAATCTTACGAGTATGTATTGATTACCATTGTTAACTACGAGTACCTACTTACTTCTTATGTACTTATGTAGGTAGGTACTTANAAAGTTAAAGCCTAACTTGTAATTGAGAGGGAGTGTTAGGATTATATTATCTTTGGAAGTGTATTAAATATTAAAAAGTTAACTGTTTCCGGTAGAACGCTCTTCCCTCTTCCGGCTATGTACGAACAAGATGTGTCTGTGTAAGAACCCGAATAATAAATGCTTACCTCGCTAACTATCGGTCTTTTCATTAAAGAAACACAAGTTCTGATAGAAGCCGCGGGCGGGAAGCTAGTAACTTATATTTAAATACTTTATCACAAATTATTTTAAATGGAATTTTAATTTCAATAAAATTATAACTTCAGACAGGTATCTTTGTATTCCCTTTTAATTTTTTTAATAAAAATTCCATAATTAGCGAGTAATCCCCTAGTTCGAGTCAGTTAGACCTTCTTGCAAAATCGGAGCTTTTATTCGATTAAACAAATCGTAACACTGAGTTGTAAGCTTAGATTAGGCCTTATTAATTAAAGGTTGTAAGTTTTTTTAACACCTTTTATTAAAAACAAGTTGCGCTAGTTAAGCAATAAAAATACGAGTAATTTGTGCAGCCATCTATTCAATGCATTAATATTTAACACAGAAATTCAATGATTGATTCGCTTTCCTTATTTCACACGCTAATCGATGAAGCTAATACCTAGTTTATAAATCAATCTTACGAGTATGTATTGATTACCATTGTTAACTACGAGTACCTACTTACTTCTTATGTATAGGTAGGTACTTATATGTTCGTATGTTATCCACTATCATTTAGATTCGATTACCTACTCAGTTTAGACTGGTAGAGTTTATACACGCGCAAGCGCAAGGTCCTTAATTGGATTCCGTACTTGGATTAAACAATATTTGGGATTTTTAGTAACTTACAGTGACACAATTTTGTGTCGTATAACAGTTAAAATGAGTGATGGAAATTTAAAAATTCTTCATTCATTAACGATTTGTTGAATAAGACAATCTAAAATCTCAATTAGAGCATGACATCCCTAATTTCGCGAGCGTCCATAAATCAAGCGACGTCGATTACGTCGACCGGTGTACATTTATCATTTTTTACTCTGTATCTGATCCGTATACTCTGAAAATAACTCAGTCAAAATTTATTTATAAGGCTGGTATTACTACACACAGTAACTGGTATGCGACGACTACGAGTAGGTATTATAGCTTCGTTTTACTTCTTTTGTAGGTAGGTTGCAGTTTATAATCGAGGATAATAACGTTTTAAAACATTGCTGTGAGCTTAATATCATAAGACCTTGAGATTAAGTAACCTCTTTTTTAAAACATTGCCGCGTGCCGTGAACTTAAGTTAATAACCAAACTAATTTATTTCCAGTACTTAACAAATAACATAAACTTGTTTTAGTTATTTAGGTATCATGTGTTTTAGCGATAATTTTTACTGCATTCCAAATGCTTTATGATAAACCAATACGATGCGTTACGTACGTGTCATTTAGCAGTAAACAGAACCACCTACCTGCAGAAGTTGTAGTAGGTAAGTACCTACGGACGGATGCACCTATGTTTGACATTTCAGTTTACCCTTTTTATAAAAGGGCAGAGCAGCCATATCCTATTCTTTAGTAAACATGACTTCCTACTTGACATTACGACGTAAATTCTCTACTGAATATTTGGTACCTAAGTACCTATCTAAGTGATAAATTTTACACCAAATAAATTCTTATTCCTCATTAAATGGTCCTCGTTCGTTCCCTTCGACTTTAATTTACTGAGCAATTCATTTAATTAATAAGTAGGTAGGTAGGTAGGTACCTACTACTTCGATTATTGCACGTAGAGTATGAGCTAGGTAATCAGGTGTCTAAACTTAGTTACCTTATCCATTCGTACTCATCTAAAGTCAAACCTCAGTCGTGATGGCCTCAATTAGAATACTAATTAGACGGATGCCAGTGAGTTACCAGGCCGCGTGCGTGCTAGAGTTAATTACTAACGCCCGTATTCACAAATGATACTTGCTTAAGTGAAGCGGTCAATGGAACGCACAGCGTTGAATAGAGCTCTGTGATTGGTTCGTGTGTCACCCTGTGTCCACGCGCACTGTGAGACCTCATAGTAATGTTTGTAAAAACGGGCGTAAGTGATTTAAGAGTAGGTACACGGGCAGTAATATTTTCCCGGTAAAATCACACATGGAATGCTAATGTGCGATAAGCGTCAAAAATTTTCAGGAACTTCACATAACCTGGTGAACAGCTGAAATTATTTGGGTTGCTAAATGGAAAATTGATCTTTGATTTAAATTGGGATTAACCTAACCTACCCTACCAGCACCGCGTCTCCGCGGCGAAGACGCTCCGCTTTGAAAACGCTTGCAATCCGCCAGTGTGACTAGGCCCTAACGCAAAATACTCCACATTTACAGTGATAAGTGTAAACGCCCAAAGCTTAACTACCAAACTCATTACCACCAAGAGACCACTATCCATTTACCAATATTCTGTTCCATTAACATGTCGATGCCAACATCAATGCGATTATTAGACAATTTATTAGATTGACCTATGTGGGCTATGGCATACCTATTCACGTAGGTACCTACATAATATTACAAGGAATCCTTCTTCATCCTTGTCAAGGATGAGGGTATTGCCCGAACATTAATCATTCACGAGTTAAACTGATGGTCTATTGTTTTATTTGAGTACCCACGTGCACTTTCCATTTTGTTATTATACGTAAGTAGCAGGTTATGTACCTACAAGTAATTATTGTGATAATACCTAATGTACTTACAAAATTATAGAGAAAATAAAAAAGCTATCAAAGTTCCAATTTCCAAACCACGTCTGTGCGTCGATTCAAGATAGAAAATGAACGAACCGAATACGCCTTTGTTTCCAAAAAACCTTGCCTTTTACATTGAAATTATTTTACCTGAATTTTACGTTAGGTAGGTAAGTAAGTACCTGCTTAACTTTCAATAACGTCGATATTTTTAATTGTGAAAACTTCCTAACAATGCCGAAAAAACCTTCCCGCCTTGTTCAAATAAGAATGGGTAAGGGTAAAACTTCTTCGGTCTCTTTCAACGGGAAAAGTACATAAAATACTTATTGGGTTATTTTTTCCGCATAGATATGGTAGGTTATCTTCGGTTCTGTAGTTGATTAAGATAACGCTTTAGTAGGTACCTCAAATAAGGCTAATGGACGATTTTATGAGATGAGAGCCCCACACTAGGATTTGCAAACATTGGGCTTTTTCAATAAAAGGGATAATGGATGTGGTGTCTAAATGACGACGAAATTCTAGTCTGAAAGACATCACACATCACAGTATCGCAAAAAAAATGGCGTGAATGGGTACAATCCTGCTCCATCCGCCATAAAGACTCGAGTAGGTAGGTACCAAGGTATGCCTCGCTACCTTTTGTCACAGTTTTGTTTTCCTCGGGCGTCAGATGGCAATAAAAACAGAAACCCGAGATTCCCAACTACCGCACTGTTTCGTAACAATTGGCCCTAGGGGAACTTTTTCGAGGGACGTGAACTAATAAGTTGATTGAGAACATGTGAAATAGTATACTACACCTACCTACCTACAGGGGTAGGATTTTATTAGTTTGTGCGTGGTGGGCCAACAAAAGTAGAGTGTATGGTGAAAAATTGCAAGTACCAGAGCAATAACCATTCGATAAAAATTGTAGGAAAACAAACCCCAACCGAACGGCGCGCACATATGAAGCTTGCAACCGATCGCCCTAAAAAGCTAATAAACGGAGGAGGTCTATGGTCAGCAGTGGGAGAACAACAGTTGAATAAAATTATGATTTAATCGGTTTGCTGGAGACAATAAATTACTTAGCGAGATTTTTTATTTATCCATATTCGAAACAGGCCACGCCAGTGTAGTACTAATTAGTAACCTAATTGGAAAGTTCTGAAGACAAGTCTCACACACTTCTACAGTATTCATAACCCAATCCAATTCAAGCATTTATCTCTAGGTAATCTCAAGTTAGTCATTAATTGCATAACACAAAATTGTAAGCGATAACATCGTTTACCGATCGACAGATAAACGTAAACAATGTTCGGAAGTCACCTTAACGAGGTATCCATGGGCGCGACTCAGTCCAAACAAGGAGGGGAGGTGTCTCGCGCCGATAACGGTCACGAACAAGTTCTTGGCCACCGGGTGCAGCGCTAACTTGAACCCGATCTCCGGTTCCAAGCTTCCACTACCCGCTAACTGACCCTCCCTGTTATTGTTCAAAATATTCTTCAACTTATTAAGTGAAAACGCCATTGTAAACAACGTCTCCAGTAGCCGCTGTCCGCTACACCAATAAAACCGGTCTGTTGAATTAATTAAACACGCAACGCAATTACAGCCCTCAGTTCTTTGTCCTTATACATCTTCAGTCACATCATCACGGACACAACCACCGCGAATTTAAAAACCCATTGAACAACTGACTATCGGAACTTCAATTGATTGTCACGTATTTTACGCTCGTTCGCGCATTCGATATGAGTACTTCCCGCTGTCAACTAACACACACTGATGAATTTGATATCAATGAACACATTGCGAGGGCATCTTTTTTCTCTTTCTGGCCCGCGATAATTATACTACACTACCGCCACAATGGTTGTGAACGTGGATGTCATTGAAGTATTTTGTACACACGGTAGCGCCATCTGTTGCACCGTCGTAAATTATCAATAAAACATCAATAGATGGCGTTGTAAAATCAATGAACATACACAAAACCCAATTTTATCTTTGTGTGTACCAGCAAAATGAAATGTACAACAATACTAAGTACTTTACTTCAGAGATATGATGAGTCAACTTCGTCAAAAAGTTTATTTTTTGTCTACTTGAATCGCTAAATTGAAAAAGTTGCGATGTATAGAATCGAAACTCCATAATGAACTTGTCGCTTTTCACGTTTGAATAATATCTTGTAAAATCCTGAATTTTTAATTAGACATTCCTTTCAATAATAGACTGACTTAAAAAATAGTATTTAATTAGGAGCTAAAGTTTTAATAACACAACAACCTTTGTACATGTAAAAATCATAGATACAGAAACAACAATAAAATTCATAATGTCATCAAATTAATAATAATACATTCGCCCATTTGCGACGACACTGTGACATCTCGACATATACGATNATATTGCAATTCACGATCCTGTTTAATACATTATAATCATGGGAGTGTTTCGCTTGTTGCTAAATTTGGGTGCATATGGCCCACTTTTACATTTAGGAATGTCGCAAGCTGTTAAGGAAAAATTAATAAGTAATCAAGGAAAACATGGCAAAGCTTTCTATAACTCAATTAAATGCAGGATTTAATTCGTCATATTATATCAAGATAATTATTATGTATTTCTTGCTAACGAAAAGCCCGTATCCAATAATTATTATTTTACTTATCTTGAGATGCAATGACTATACCTTCTACATAAATAACATGAAATCATTAATAATTCTGCACTCTTATACAATGTCGCTTTTCCATACCATAAATCAAATATTCCAAGATCTAGGACCTAGATAACAACTTTCCGATGACTTCAGCAATACTGTCGTAATAGTGAATTAGGATAGATACAACTAAAACGAGCATAGCGAAACAAATTCCCGTGATATACATAAACTGACTCGCTTCTTGCGGTGTAGCCAGCAACTCTTCGGAACTGGCGTCTCTGTCCAATGCGTCGAATTCGGACGTATCTGAAAATTGTAGATAATATTTTTTTCTAATTACGAATAATTAAACTACGGCATCTTATTACTAAAGCTTTAAGCGAGGTTTAACTCATAATTTAAGCAAATACACGCCAAATTCAGATAAGCACCGGGGCTAGGATGCGCGCCTAAAAAAGTCTTATCGAACATTTTAATCAACAATATCCTTCTAAAATCGATAAAACGCCTCGATAAAACTTTATGGTGGCGCGCATCCTAGGCCTACAGGTCATGCAGAGAGCGAAACTAGTCTATAACAAGCAATAATTATTATTCACCCTTGAAAAGTATGTTTTTTTTTTCTAGAAAAATACATTATTTTCGTATAAATGCTTACCAGCAGGTGTTTCGACGTCACAAACAACATCAGCTTCTGTGATCTGCAGGTCCAGGAGTTCTCGTACAGACAGCAGGGCCTCTGCTGGAGCTTCCCCGGGGAACAGGTAGTCACACAGATAGAGTGAACCGACTGGAACTAGAACTCGGCGAGGAGGCTCGTTGAAACATACCTTTTCTGTAATTTTCAATTTTACAAATAAGGCTGAGGCCAAATAAGCGTAATTTACGACGCGTTTTTTGAGTCTACCCAAAAGTTCTAAAACTTCACAACAATGCGAAATGTGTTGGAATTTAACATTTATTATGTATGGATATTGTGCTCATTTGGAGTCAGCCTAAGCTTTACCTCTATAATATTTAAGTTCAGAGTGTAAAACGAGATTTAAAAATGTAACACAATAGCTATTGAAATTGGCCCTTGGCCCTTGTTCTTTCAAGGAACAATGTCATGAATTCTAGAGTTGCCACGAATAGTGATTTGGCCGAATACCGAATACCGAATATTCGGCAACGCTGTCGGCCGAAGCGCCGAATATTCGGCGGCCGAATATTCGGCACAAAGCACATGCTAGTCGAGTGCGTAAATAATAATACGACAGACTGCGACCTGTCTCCATAGCGCGCGGGCGGCGTAAGGCTATTTGACTGTTTCATTCAATGAGTGTTTTCGCGATTTAAAAATCCGCCAGATGGCGGGACGTGGGGTCTGACTGCTGCGTGATTGGTGGATTTTGACATATCTGTCAATGTCATGTCAAAAATAACCAATCATGCAGCATTTGGACCTCGCGTCTACGTATTGCCATCTGGCGGATTTTTCAATCGCGAAATCCCTCATTGCGAGTAAATCACGTCACGGCACGCATTGTCAGATTAATATAAATTACAAAAATAAAACGTTACGATTTTGCTGAAAAGTTTGTTCGTTAGTTCTTTTTCAATTGTTTGTTCATTTAAAAATGTCACCAATTATTAAAAAATCTGCCATATGGAAATGTTATGAGATTTGTAGTGAAAATAATAAACTGGCCAATTATTTGCTGTGTAGTAGCTCTGAAACTAAGTTGTAATGATAATGAGTCTAGTAGTACCGATGACGAATTTTCTCAACGTCGTAAGAGAAGAAACTTGAACGAAAATGACAAGTCATTTGAAATACACGACAGTTTCTGGAACTGCTTTGAGGAAGTCGCTAAAGATAATATTTTATGCGAAATAGTAATGATGAGGAGAACGTGGAAAAGAATACTGTGGCAAATGAGATGGATTTTTATTTGAAATCAAATCGACTAGATCGGAAAGCTGATCCTTACAAGTGGTGGTCAGCTAATGAAAAACAATACCCAAACCTCTCGAAATTTGCGAAAGTTTATCTTTCTTCTCCCGGGAGTAGCGTGTATAGTGAAAGGTTGTTTTCTGAAGCTGGTATCATTTATGATGAAAAGCGTAATCGTTTGCTACCGTCAAATGCTGAAAAGCTTGTTTTTATCCGTCACAACTTACCGCTGATTAATTTTACTTATTAAAGTATTGTAATTTGATAATAAGGACAAATCTTGATTAATATGATGTGTCATTTTTTTCCATGATTTGGTATTCGGTATTCGGCCGAATAGTACCTATTATTCGGCCGAATACCGAATACCAAACAAAGTGGCCGAATAGGCCGAATACCGAATAGTAGCCGAATATTCGTGGCATGTCTAANAGGAATTCCACAACCTAATCCGACAACATGACGACCTTTCACAGCGCTATGCGAGCGCTGTGAAAGGGTCTCTTTGAGCTACAATAACTTCGGAACAGAGAAGCGCCTGGATGCGGGCAGCGCAGGACCGTGCATTGTGGAAAACCTTGGAGGAGGCCTTGTCCAGCAGTGGACGTCATTTGGGTGAAACGAACGAACGAACTTCGGAACTAATATGAGTAGATATAGACTGATAAACATACATTCGTTTTGAAGAATAGTTCAAATACTATAAATACAGTGCAAATAAAACATACTTATACGACTGTCTGTTTTTACAGACACAACAAGCAAAATATTTTATATTATCATACAATAGCCTTAGATTAGCTTAATCTAAGACGATAGCTAACAAAATTATCTATTAGTAGAAGTACGCTAGAATAGCAATGCGTTGGATGACCCCAGATATATATTTATTTATTATTATGTAATTATTCAATGTTACTTAGCTGTATTGGCTATGTTTTGCTTTCTGCAAAAAAAGGTATTTTAATGTTTTAATATAATTACAGATCATCAGCAATTGATGGAATTTTATCGCATCTTGCCCAAATTTACTTTGGCGGGCGCAACATTGTTTTGTATAATAATAGTGGTCAGCTAATGAAAAACAATACCCAAACCTCTCGAAATTTGCGAAAGTTTATCTTTCTTCTCCCGGGAGTAGCGTGTATAGTGAAAGGTTGTTTTCTGAAGCTGGTATCATTTATGATGAAAAGGGTAATCGTTTGCTACCGTCAAATGCTGAAAAGCTTGTTTTTATCCGTCACAACTTACCGCTGATTAATTTTACTTATTAAAGTATTGTAATTTGATAATAAGGACAAATCTTGATTAATATGATGTGTCATTTTTTTCCATGATTTGGTATTCGGTATTCGGCCGAATAGTACCTATTATTCGGCCGAATACCGAATACCAAACAAAGTGGCCGAATAGGCCGAATACCGAATAGTAGCCGAATATTCGTGGCATGTCTAATGAATTCCAAAAGTTCTAAACAATTTAATAAATGTAATTATTTTTCACTCCTTACCTTCTGGCAACAAATTATCATCAATTAAAGCATCACAATGCATTGTGAAACGAGAGGCTAGAGACCTTATTATGTCTTGCTTGACTGCTGTGATCGCTTCACTTATGGTGGCCTTTGGGCACATGAAGACACTAGACGATACAACACCACTAAAATGTATACTTCCATCACATTCTAAATATTCAACTGACTCTGGTAAAGAGTTTTCCTGGAAATTAAGAAGAATGCATTACATTACGCGACCTAATATTGCTAATCAGTCATTTTAAAATAAATATTATTATTTGTACTTACAAAGGGCACAAACAAAGATACATGCATGGATTTAGGCACTTCCTGTTGAGATGGTTTAGCATTTTTAGGTTTTTTCTTTTTGATCAATTGCTCCAGGGCCTCAGATCCATCTTTCAATTCTCCATCAATGAACATCACACTTGATTCTATTGTTTTGTGTGCGGACTCCAAAATTTGCTGTAAACAAAATAAATAACAGATAATGTAAGTACTGAAGTTGTTTAATAAAATACAGATTTGCATGTCAACTTTCTAAATTATTATAATTTCAAGTTACACAATACCTGAAATTGATGTTTCACAGAGATACCACTTTTCTTTACAATGACAGGATATACTTCATCAAATTCATAGTAACAGTCTAACCGTTGCCACTGCTGTGCTTTCGGCACAAACTTCCATTCCACAGGCTTCATGAAACCAGTTTTGTTCGCAGCACCAACTTCAACAGACTTACATGTGAGGACTTTTGTGTTTGTTGACATGTGCAGCACTAGTCTCTCACTAGAGTACGGACAGTTTCCATACATGTACTGGTTTACGTTCAAAGCTTTGTACACGTAGTTGAGTATGGCTTTGACTTTGCTGAAGTGATTAGGGTCATCAAAAATGTCTTCGTCACTTGTCACGAAGATACCTGAAAAAATTGAACAGGTAATTATTAATTACATAGGAAATGCTACATCATTGTCAAAAATACTTTGTATCATACAAATTAACAAATCAAGGTTAAAATGTCAGCAATTCAAAATGTAATTAATGTTGATTAGCAAAGTTAAGAATGCAAACAGATTTGAAAGGTTAATTAATCATTTAGAAAGTTGTACCTTGAACGAACATGCCTCCGGGCAGCATTCTGGTAACATGTTTAGCATGATCTGCCACCCAAACCTCTGAGACACTCAATAATGATTTTGCTGAATCAGCCTTATCAGAAACGAAACTGGCTTCGGATGCACTGTCAGTGCCTTTTTCTTCAGGTGTTCTAGCTAAGTGAATTACATTTTCTCGTGCACTGGTAGACTGTATTAGAAATGTATTCTTGTTACAATATAATCATAACGATTGGTCATAAGTTATGAGGACTATTACCAACTACCGACGTTGAGTTTTTACAATATGTAATGCAGAAAATTACTTACTTGACCCAAAATCAATCCAATTACAAAAGTTTCTTTGGAAGCATATTGTTCCAAGTATTGCAAGCAATATTCCGGGGAATATACTGTCCGGACCATTTTGCACTTCAAGCATTCACTGTGTAAAATTTAATGTAGGTCACCGGCTCAGGTTAATATTTATTTTATACTCCGTAGGATTTAATAATTTTACTCAAGTTTGGTTGAAATTGAAATGTGCCTGCATGAACAAAACAAAACGTCACTAGCCAACCACAGATAATCACAGATTATTGATGCTTGCTGTCACTGTCAAAAGATAGAGATGCGCAATTTTATGATCATTTTCGTAATATCTCGATTATGATTATAAAATATAAAAATATCATAGATATTTTGAGGACAAGTATTTACTTCTACATTTAATTTTATATCATCTGTATTTACAATCAAAAGATGGCATCTACTTGTAGGTATTCAACTGTAACTAGTAAAACGAAAGTAGAGCAATAAAATAAAGTTAATTAAGAAGAATTAAATTCCGGTCCGCGCTAAAATGTTACATAATATTAAATGAGATTTGGATTAAAGAATTATTGGTAACGTGAAAACACTTTTTTGCAATGATTAATTTAATTACGTCACTAATAAAATCTCATCGATTTAATGTCAAGATCACATCACTACTCAGATTATGGATCCTTGGTCAGCACTCTCAAAGGGCAATGCCAGATTTTGTATGGAAGGTGGCGTCTTTTTTTTTTTCGCGCGGCCATCGACCAAACTTTGTTTTTTGATTACAAAATAGTGTAATAAACCAAACTTACTATGGCATGTATACCTCTAAACTCAGTCTGAACTGAGTTACGAGCATTAGAAGTTTGATGATTTTCATACTAGATTTGCTTTTTCCGCGCAAGTTTTGTAAGAAATTGCAACAAAATATTGCGCTATTTTTTTATTGCGCTGATTCTGCTGCATAGTGATGTCTGGAGCCTTTAATGGATGGTATTGTTTGTTTTCACATACAATGTCACTATTTTGTTGCAATTTCTTACAAAACTTACGGGCAAAAAGAAAATCTAGTATGTAAAATCATCAAACTTCTAATGCTCGTAACTCGGTTCAGACTGAGTTTAGAGGTATACATGTCATAGTAAGTTTGGTTTATTACACTATTTTGTTATCAAAAAACAAGGTTTAGTCGATGGCCGCGCGAAAAACAAAAGACGCCATTTTCCGGCATTGTCTTTTCCACTTTGCCCAAGTCCTAAAAACGTTTTGTTAATAGGGCCATTTGATATGCAGAGAGTTGCTTTGAAAAATCTTTCACATACTCTGAAGTCTTTGCCCTCTTTCTGAAAAAAATAAAAACGTGATGTAGTGCGTTTTTTATACGCAGCAAGCGTGCAGCAAGTTTTATTCTTTTTGGCAGATTAGCCTTGATATTCATAAGGATAAAATCTTTTTGACGTTTGTAGTCCGCTAATGTCCAATAATCCTTGCAAATGGTAAGATCTTCCAAAGTGAAATTGTAGGAACAACTTAATCGACATTTGCAAATTATAGACTTAGGAGCTTTAGCTTTTATCTTTTCACCCTTTCCTTATTTCTGTGATATTTATCCGAATTCGACTTTGGTGTACTGTCCTCTTAAATTTCATCTTCCATGTTAGTTTTTTCGGAATCAGAATCGGTGCTATCATTGCTCTTTTTTTATTTGGATCTTGCCACTCTGGATCAGCCACAGAATCATCCGAAAGATACAAATCATCTTGATACAAAATATCTGTGCGCTAACATTTTCATAGGACAATTTTAATCAAAAACTATACTTTTTTTTATTCCTCATGACAGTAATTGACAGCATATTAAATGACCCGCCAGATCTTTTGTCAGTGCCAAATACAATGAAAATTCATCAAATTATCAATAAACCTGATTTGGAGAACACTATTTGTGTAGGTAAATATCAAACCCCGGTAAGTCACACCCCTACTCGAAACTGAACTACGAATGTTGCTAGATTTGAAATTTAGTTTTCTTTATGTTACTGTTTTCCAAATCACGGTAAGTCCTCAAAAACTCTACAAACAACGGTTAAAATCGCCGATTTATTTGGAACTCCGGTACTCCATTGACAAGTCAAAATCAAACTCAAGCACGTCCACATCGACCAATCACAGCAGCGTATGGCGTTTAAGATGGCTGCCAGTTTGAAGAATCGTTGAGAGTAATACACTTCGCTGTCGTCGATTTTATCAAATTGTGTGAGAAAAATGGAACAGAACAATATAAAAATTTGTGTGTTGAATCCAGAAAAAGCAAAGAAGAATTTAGTGTCAAAAGTTAAAAAGAAAAATGCCGAGAAAAAAGCTAAAAGGTAAAGCTAATCTTAACATAGTAGTGTTTTTGTTGCAATCGTGAACGTGAAAACCAGGGCTGTACATAATTAATAATTTAAATTAATATTTCATATATTTTCAATTAAAATGTATGTATATTTTAGCGTACTAGCATCTGGAATTCTGACGCGAAAACGCAAGTTTATATGAATGTCGTCAAATTCCTCAGTTGNTTTAAGTGGCGTTTGAGTGCAACTTAATTTGAGAGGTGCTTAAAAATTGAGAACTGCTCAGATATTGTTTTGAGTATGCGAAATGTAAGTTTAGGAGCTGCTTAACTATTTGAGAAGCCGTCAAATATTTAAATGGCGTTTCAGTATTCGGCCGTTAGCATCACTAGCTGTAGAGGCTGACCATGAAGCTATAGATAAAATTAGGTTCATGAGGCTGACCAAGCTTTTACGGCCAGCGGCTAAACCGAACAAAAGACCAATGATCATTGAGCTATTACCCAATGACATTACGAGGAGGTTTTATTTGTTTCAGCTTCTAGTGGTCACTTGTCTAATATAGCCTGACCAGGAACATAAAAACCCTCGCCATGTTGCGGAAAACTAATGGTACTAATTTCTTTTAATGGCAACAGTATAGATGACCCACGCTGAACTGTCCCGCCAAACTCAATGACAGGGGGGCGCTACCATCGTTCAACTATATGGTTTCCAACATGGTAAAAATCGGAACTAGCGATTCGGTATTGACGGTGGCGCCCCACTGTCAATGTCATGCACAGGACAGTTCAGTATTTTGGAACTATAAAACAATATTATTGTATTTTTTTTTATAATCCAATTTCATGTTCAACTTTTTGTATAGCCTGACCAGGAACATAAAAACCCTGGCATAGAGGCGCGTCAATTGCATTTGATAGTGCAACACTGAGTACAGTCGTACCTGTGTTAAATTAATAGGCTAACTTTATGTATCAGGATTCAGGATTACGGGCTAATTTGATATTTTCATAAATTAACGAAAAAATATTATTATAGGTAACCTGATTTAAATAAATTAAATGAAACCATCAATCGAGCTAGTAGATTTATTTTATTATTCATCAATAATCAAATTCAGAACTTGAATATTCAACTGCAATGTCTGCTCATGAACGCTTCAAACTCGGTACTTCTTTCCCAATCCCATAAAATTCAACACTTAGAAAGTGACAAAATTTTTAAAATAGGTAGTTGAAACAAACCACAGCTAATTTTCATAGTGGACTGTACTATACATCACAGAAATTAAAATTGAACCAAACCCAAACTTGATGCGATTGTGTCGTTTTATTGCGAATTACCTTCCAGCTCCATCATTAGACCCTGATTACTTTAAAGAATTAAAATACTCATCAATACAAAACGAACGAGCCCAAACTCGATGCATTTAAGTCGTTTTATTATAGAGTTCCTATGGCCACCTTTCAGCTCCATCATCAGAACAGCTCCATGTCATCATAATATTGCATGGTCATCCAAATCACATGTGTTTGCGAAATTTCAGCTTAATCGGTTGCCTGGAAGTGGGTCTTTATTCAGCTTGCAAGATTCCGTCCATACAAATATGAGCCAGTCACTGTAATATGACGTCACGCGCATAAAATGGCGAGCCGGCCGCCGCCCGCTCTTTTAAAATTCAATATCTTGGAAACTAATTGACGTATCGAAATAATTCTTTCACGTGTATTTTTTATTTTTAACAGAGAATACAGAAAGCTAAAAAACAAAATTAGTGAACATTCTTCATTTTGGCAAGTCGGTACTGGTGGTCGAACTTGCGATTTTCATTGAAAACTGTCGGAGAAATGGCTGTGGTATAGATGACCCACGCTGAACTGTCCCGCCAAACTCAATGACAGGAGGGCGCTACCATCGTTCAACTATATTATGGTTTCCAACATGGCAAAAATCGAAACTAGCGATCCTGTATTGACGGTGGCGCCCCACTGTCAATGTCATGCATAGGACAGTATAGTATTTTGGAACTATAATAGTATCCACCCGCCCCATTATGTAACTTTCCTACTACTTCACCCTGTAAATGAATTATCTACATTTTTTTAGTTAATAATGTCTCAGTAATGTTGTGAGCAAAGTAATTTAATAACAAACGTTAGTTACTTATCTATTAATTTTGTCAGAGGCCAGAAGCTGGGACGCCCATGTCCGACGAGGTACTGAATATTATTTTGGATGCAACAACTTAAAAGACTCCTAGTACCATCGACACTTTACATAGCACTTGCAGGCTAGACAGCGATAATCGCGCGGTTGCTGGGCGGTTGACATACGTTTGCATTAAACTCTTACAGGTCGGTTTTCACCTCAGCTCCTCGTCAATAAGAACTCATCACCAATCTGCTATCGCAGTGTTGAAAAAGTTGCCTACTGGCAACAAAAAAAAAACAAGTGCAGTTTTTACGCATTTATTTAATACGTTCACATTAAAACATACGGAAATGCTGTTTGCATCAGTGCAATTAGTGCAAGATATACAATCATGCTTACACAACTATATCATTAAGCATTACAGTTACAAGTATCATTATTGGATACTACTTGATCAGACTCCAAAGTATACTCAGGAACGCAATTAATGTACTGAAAACATAATTGCATTGAGAATGTTCAACACAAGTGATTATTAAATGTTAACTCAAATAATACCTTGTAAAATTAAAAGTTTACTTAAAGTTAAAAATTTATTAATGTAACTTTAATTGAATTTGCACTTCGAGAAATCCATTTCAGGATGCTGCTCCATGAATCTGCAAAAGAAAATGTATTTTTGTAAGTTCGTTTATCTAATTAAATTAATATTCGATCTACAATAAAATTATTTCTTGTGGTCGAGGTGTCATGTCG